TGTTTTATATAACGCACAGACTGTGATACCTTGGGAGGATTTTTCAAATTCTAAAACAAGCAGTGAGAGAAGTGTCAAGAATGAGCAAGAAGAAAGAACCAAGATGAAATGGAAGTTGTCGGAGTTTCTGATTCAAGTCATATTATTCCACGGAGGAGGGTGGAAAAGTGGCAAAGAAACACAAAAATTGTCACACGAATAAGTAAAAAACTGAATGGAGAAGGTGTTTTGCCACTGGAGAGACAGAAGAATAGGAAATAATGACTTTCCAAAAGCCTAAAGTGTGTCATATTCAAACCATGTGCATATTGAAAGATTTTCAAATGTGGCTCTTACGTGGCCTTTAAGAAAAACACAACTGTTGACCTTTAAATCCTGTTAGCCAGAACAGATTACTACACACACTTGCACAGAACAACTCACATGCACACTCTGTAGCACAAGTCGTGTTGAAACCTCGCAGGAAGAGAGAGAGACTAAATCTAATCTCAAGTGAGGATGTTACTCAAATGGAAGCACTTCAGCACTGATCCAGATAACACAATTTTGCATGGCCTTGAGCCTTTTTGATCAGGACAATCTGGCGAATAAACAAAACAATGTAAAGGCATGTAGTCGCATGCATTAATGTCTGATATAATAAAGCCTGCCTGTAGTTAAAAATGACAGGGCTGTCTTTGCTTTCCAGTCTGGTTTGGGATCAGTGTCGCCAGCCATCTTGGAAGAGTACTTTTGACAGTATAATGGGTGAAGTCATTGCCCGTACCATGTGAGGTGAAACCGGACGCACATGCTTTGGCTAATCTGCTTGGAAAACCTGAAATAGACTCACGAGATTACAGAGAGCATGACAAACCCAGGATCAAACACAGAGGCTGGTTTACATGTGATCAAAGGACATGATTTGCAGGCCAAAACATGTCAGCTTAGAATAACCTGTTCATTTGGACGGAGGAACACGTGAAGTTCCCTTAAATTTATAATCTGCTAACAGATGCTCTTTAACTTAAAATACATATATTTCATAAATAAAATTCCATAGCACACACAAAAAAGTATGATATGCATAATATATAATACAGTGCTTTCCACACATAGACTTTACTTAGGTGGGCTGCCCAGGTACTGTATATTAACGCCAAAGTATATTTGGTGACATTTATTTTTGATTATTATCATCCTTTAACACTTTTTTTATATCCGCCCAATAGCCAAACATCTGCGATCGATTAACCAGTGAAAAAATCTCCTCTTGCCCTACACGTTTCCCACTTTTCATTGTGTGTGCACCAGAACTGTCATCACTCCCATAGACAATCTCACGTGCTCTGCAGAGACCCACAGAGATGTGCCTTTTTTGGGACGTAAAATGGATCTATCCGGGGTTTCTAAATCTCCTAAAATGTCCGGGATTCGACTTTTGGTTTTTCTTTCTAAACCATCGTTAATTGTATGTGTTTTTGCATTACATTGTTATTTTAAGCATGATTTACTTTCGCTTGGCTTTGCAGATGACAGCGCGTGCACATCCGCAAGCGAGAGAAACAATATATAATAAATTCTTTGATCTAATCGACTCGAAAAAAACTTTTTTCTATTTACTCAGAGAGGTAATGACATTTAAACTGGCTGCAAAATATTTGTACACCATTAGAAATGTAAAAAAAAGCAACTAATTTGCCTTGTTTAAATAATCTACACTTTTTATTCTTGTAATTTTTATACTTTTTTGAGATTTGTATTCCATGGATGTCTCTTATTTCTCATTTGCTCTATTTTTTTTATTTGATGATGGTGATATTTTACATAATTTATATACAGTTGAAGTCAGACTTGTTAGCCCCTATGAATTATTAGGTCACTTGTTTAGTTTTCCCTAATTTCTGTTTAATGGAGAGCAGATTTTTCCAACACATTTCTAAACATAATAGTTTTAATAACTCATCTCTAAAAACTGATTTATTTTATCTTTGCCATGATGACAGTATAGTAGTTTACTGGATATTTTTCAAGACACTTCTATACAGCTAAAAGTGACATTTAAAGACTTAACTAGGTTAATTAGGTTAACTAGGCAGGTTAAGGTAATTAGGCAAGTTACTGTAAAACGATGGTTTGCTGTAGATTATCGAGAAAAAATAGCTTAAAGGGGCTAAAGATTGTCCCTAAAATGGTGATTAAAAACGGCTTTTATTCTAGACGAAATAAAACAAATAAGACTTCATTTAGTATGTCTAATAATATCAGACATACTCTGAAAATGTCCTTGCTCTGTTAAAAATCATTTGGGAAATATTTAAAAAACAAGAAAATAATTCGAAGGGGGCTAATATTCTGACTTCAACTGTATATCTAACATGCTTTGGCAATACTGTATAAAATATCAGCAGCAGATTTTTCCCTGTCAGTAGGTGCACATGGCTCCTGAATAAAAGTAAAACCAATAGTGGTTTAAAAAACAAACAAACAAACAAACAAAAAACATCAACCCATTGTATCAAAAATTTTTATAAAATCACATATTTTTTGTCGCTTGTAGGTAACCATGTATGTGCTGTGGGTAAAAGATGCGTTTCAATCCGGCTACTACCGCAACTATATTTCAAATCAGTGGGAAGCACTGTAATAATATCATGTTAATAATAATCACAAAATATGCCAGAATATATTTGATATAACTTATTTTGGCCAGTTTGCAAGTCAAATAATTGAATTGATAAATAACTTGAATTTTAAATGCATACATTTACACAATTGTAGTCTAATCAAAAAAGTGTATAAATACTTATAATAATAATAATAAAAACACTGTGAAATGTGACATAGCTTGAGGAAGACAACTTTGTGTCCCTTAGGAGACAATTATTAGCTCTGAGTCACACAAGCAGCCAACCTCAAAGGACAGACTTATGTTGACACACTGGTTGCGTGTAAGTGTTTCTCTACAGTCTACACAAGCAAATCACAAAGAGCAAATGCATTCATGTAGCTACTACTTATTTTTATATACATGTATGAAGAGTTCAGATGCAAAAGCCTTTAAGTATCGTCTGAAATGTGTGTGTAGGTTTAGGAATTTTTACTTTTATGGTTATGAATAGGTCCTTGTTTTGCCTTTAAAGTAAAAAAGTTGAACTAGGAGGTTGAGAAAAATGCATGTTTTAGATTAAAATTTCAGACGGCTAGCCCTGTCACCTATGTGGCCGGATTAACTAAATTTCTCCATAATGTATGAGTGTTTGTGTGTGGGTGTGAATGTGAGAGTGTATGGGTGTTTTCCAGTACTGGGATGCAGCTGGAAAGACATGCATTGTGATGAATAATAATTAATGAAAGAGTTAGAGGCTTTTGCATTACAGGCATTCCATGACTGTAAGAACCTCATTAGCTACTGTAATTATTTAATATAATATGTGATAGTATTATTAATTATAGAATATATATTAGCCAATTAAACCAGTACCCAGTTATAGAACATATTCATCAACAAAGGTACAAGAGGTTAAGATCTTTCATCCAAGCATCTATGTTAATACATTAGATAAAATGACAGCAAAATTATACTATACATAATATTAATATTTTTATTAAAGATATAATTCACCTAAAATGAAATCCACTCGGCATGAGTGTGAGTAAATGTTAAGTGAGTTCCCTTTAAACATATTACCTGTCCTTGTTTGTAATTCCAGTAGTGTAAATACAGACAGTGAATACGTTTACATGGACACCAATAATCAGATTTTAATACGATTAAGACAATACTCTGATTAAGAGTCTACCATGTAAACAGCAATTTTTGATTAATTTAATCCGATTAAGGTCATAATCGAACTAAACAGAAATCAGACTAAGACGTGGAGTATGCCGATTTGTGCAGTACAGACATCTTAATCAAACTATTACTGCCGTGCAGGTTTTTTGCCACATTTGGTGAATAGTCTATACACACAAATGGCTATTTGACACTATTCTTTGCACCTACCAGTTTATACTCCCATCCAATATCTCATTTTTCATGGGGGGCATGCATGAAATGTTCCCAAATGAAAGTGAAAATGCCAAACTGCAGCAAAAGTCGACAAATTAAAAATGAAACTACCTGTAACTCCGGAGGCAATGACATTAATCGAATTACGTGCTATAACATGTAGGGATCATAATAGGAACATTTAAAAAGCAACTTATGCAAACAACTTAACCATACTATTGTCTTATTCAGATTAAGGCAGATAATTTGATGACTGATGTCCATGTAAATGTATTCAGTGATCCACAACTTTCTAAGCTTCCCCACTGTTCTCCTTTCACCTCATATTCTCTGTTCACAAAAAAGCAATGGATGATTTCCAAACAGGAAGTTGGTGAGTCATCTGAGATGCCATCAGACTGTGACTTTCCCTGTCCTTAGTGCACACACATTCTTAAACACATTCAGTCAAAGAGTCGCAGAGTGCATTGAATTACACAAGTCAAGTGTCGAGCTTTTGAAGTAAACAGGGACACGAATGATGAGCCTTATGTATAATGCAACAGAACAATCAAAACTTCAGAGCAACAGCAAAAGGCCATTCTCTAGAGAAACGCATGAATCTTAGATCAGCCAACAGTGTTTGGATCATTGGTGTCTATATGCTGGTTTGCTTTTAAAAGTTGACAGAAATCACGCCCTAGTATTAATGCATACTTTCTCTTGCTTGAAAATGGACCGAAATCGGATGACGCATTCTGTTCACAGACACATATACAAATTCTTGTTGAATAAAACTCCCTCTAGAATAAGAACGTCAAATCCAACTAAATTATAAATAACATCTGCCCACGACAAGCAAAAGCAAGTAGCGAAAGTAGTATTTTCGTCCTGCCTGCTGTGACAAAAAAACTAAAAGCTACTGGCAGCTAAAAACAGAACAAGCCCTTTGAGGTCTTTCACCCAAACTTACAACTTAATAGGAAACACAGTGTTAAAGGAAAGGAAATTGAAACATGGAGAGAGTTACCTCTGAGAGATGAGGAGTGGGGTTGAATCCACACAGGTTGCACACAGTCTTCTGGCACTCCGTACATGTGCTGTAGTTGATCACCTCTCCTGAGCCAAAATTCAGTTTTACTTTACAGAGAGGACAGCAGGATTGGGCCTCAGAGCCTGAAACTTTAGCCTCCTTTACGTCTGTCGATTTTGGGGGGGATGTGTCTGCTGATGCTTTTTTCTCAGCAGGTGTTGGTTTCGGGGATGCTGGGTCTTTGGAATAAGCTGGCGGTGTGTCCGGAGGTGACTCTGAGCCAGAGTCTGGGGGGGATCCAGCAGGGGAGTCTGCATCTGACCCAATGGGGGAATCAGGGGGTGATCCTGCGGGAGAATCAGGGGGAGACTTTGATTCCTCCCCAGAGATGAGATTGGTGGCAGAGCTCAGGAAGGATGATCCAAAACCAAACATCTTTCCAGAAACGCTCTCAGTGGACTGAGATTGTGCTGGTAAAGGTTTTGTCGTCTCTGTGAGGCCACTGAAGCCACTGAAAAGTTTTCCTGTGACGGACTCACTTGCTGGAGCTGCAGAGCCACCCTGAGGTTTGGACCCCCCACCAAAACCACTGAAGAGTTTTCCTGTGACGGACTCTGTAGCTTGGGCAGCTGGAGAGGGTTTTGTTACCTCTGTCAAACCTCCAAGACCAAATCCTCCAAAAAAGCCCCCTCCGTCCTGCTTCGGGGTTGTTTTGGCTGGAGATGGTTGGGGACTACCTTTTGGGCTCTGTGAAGGTTTCTGAAGTGGTGGAGGCTGTCCACGTTTTGCCCCTAGTTGTCCAGGCTGAGGTCCCTGCTGTGGTCCAGATTTTGGTGTTGTTGGAGGTGTACTTCCCTTGCCTGTATCAGCAATACTCTGTTGTTTGGTCAGCATTGGGGGCTTTTTACCAGGCTCAACCTTGGAGGGAGATCCAGGCGGTGGTTCTTTCCTTTGTGGGGAGGGAGGTGCTGAGCCCTGCTTGGGTGGCTGCTTCATCATTGGAGGTCCAGGAGGCTCCATGCCACCCATCGCCCGCTGCATCTGACAGTTCAGACACAGCCATTCCTTACTCTGTGAAAACAAGAAGATAATGTCAAGGTATATGAGCACAAATGCAGCACAATATCATTTTTGTAAGAATAGCCATCTGCATTTAAATTACTTCAAGCTGTGTGCATTAAAAAGGCCTTGCAGAACATTATTTATTTATGCTGAGCAGAACAAAACATCCAGTATATAGCATGGTAATTTGTAGTGAACTTGCTGTTATTAAAAGCTCTTTATTGTTTTTGGATTGATTAACAAACCCCATAAGCCACGACTTTATGATTTGATTACATGTTTTTTTTATTTCATTTACTTCTATTGTTAGTTTGGTTGAGTCATTTATTGAAAGGCACACATGTAAATTCTTAAAAAAACAGAATAAGGCTGCACATCCAGTGCTCTGTGACTAATACTGTTGTTTCCTCTAACATGGACCAGGAATAATTCCAAATGTGTATCACTGCCTTCATAACTTGTGAATGCAACTCCACTTCTTGCCTGAATGACATAAGTGACCTTGCTAATTTTCCATCTTCTGTGGCAATACTTTTAAACTTCTAGACTCAAATGAAAAGAAATATTCTTATGCATAATCAAAAGGTTTTAAAAGCAAAACCCTGAACAGTTTTAATTATTAAGTATAAACTCATTTTGCTAAAGTGTTCATTAAAAATAAAAAAGAAGTATTGTATCTTCTGTATTAAAAATACATAAAGATGAACAATTAAATAAGTGTGAAATTTATCTGACTGATATATAGTAAGGCAGAAGATGCCTCTTACCGCTGAATCTGGTGGACTGAAGCCACACAGGCTGCACACCTGCTGTTTGCACTGAGTACAGGTGTTGTAGTTGGGTGGCTGGTCTTTGGCCTGCACATTCAGCTCTGTAGACTTACAAAGAGGACACATTGCTTTTCCTGGAGCTGGTGCAGCTTTACCAGGCCCTTCTGATAGAGCACCTGGCCCAGGTTTACCCTGCTGTTGAGGTCCACTAGGTTTTCCTGCAACCCCTGGGCCAGGTTTTCCAGGCCCTTGTTGCTGGGGCCCTGGTCCTCCAGGTTTGGGTCCTTGCTGTTGAGGTCCAGGTCCACCAGGTTTAGATCCTTGCTGCTGAGGTCCAGGTCCACCAGGTTTAGGTCCTTGCTGCTGAGGTCCAGGTCCACCAGGTCTAGGTCCTTGCTGCTGAGGCCCAGGTCCACTGGGTTTAGGTCCTTGCTGCTGAATTCCCGGTCCACCAGGTTTAGGTCCTTGTTGCTGAGGTCCAGGTCCACCAGGTTTAGGTCCCTGTTGAGGTCCTGGTGCTCCAGGTTTAGGTGCCTGATGTTGAGCTTCTGGTCCACCAGGTTTGGGTCCTTGCTGGGGTCCTGGTCCACCAGGTTTGGGCCCTTGCTGAAGAGGTCCCTGCCCTTTAGGGGGACCCTGCTGAGGTGGCTTACTCCCTTGAGGAGGACCCTTTCCCACTCCGCTCTGTGGACCAGGAGGCTTTCCTTCCTGCTTTGCAGACTCCTCCTCTTCATCATCACCAAACAAACTAAACTTTGGGATGCTGGCAGAGGAGACAGCAGAAGAAACCGCACTCAAAGGGTTGGCCCCACTCAGGAAGCCAGATGAGAACATGCCAGTTCTTGGTTGTTCTGGGTCTTTGGGCTCCTGCCGGAAACGTGACTCAAGGAGGCTGAGGGAGGAGGGGCTGCGTCCAGGCTTTGGCTTGGGAGGCGGCCCCTCTCCAAAAGCATCTACTGTTCGACTCTTACTGAGACCGACTGGGACTTTGGTACCCCCAGCTTGAGTCTCTGGTGGCCTGTGAAGTGAACAAACATAAGGTTAACTTCATATTACTCTCAGGTCAACATAAATCTTTCCAAAATAGGTGATTGATGAAAATGTGCTGTATTTATTTAAAAGCTGTTCTGGACCATTTACAAAAATAAAATGCAAATGACACTGCAAATAATCCAGTCATCCAATCAATAAAGCAAAATAAAAGTTATTACAGCCAAAAAAAAAAAAAAAAAAAAAAAAAAAAAAGGGTAATGGATCAGCAAAAAAAAAAAAAAAAGAAAAAAGAAAAAGTCTGATGTCATGATCAGTTTATTTTAGACGTTAATAAGTAATAAAATGAATGCAATGCAATGAAGCAACTAATCAAGAAACTCAACTGCTTTATCATTAGTAGTAGTAATGACCACTAGTGTGTAATTACTTTGAAAAAAAAGAGCTAATACTAATAGCATCTATTAAGCATTCTGACCAAACACTAAATCAAGCAATCGTTTTTGCCACACTGTCACTATATTTTAATTTCTGTGCACCACTGATGTTAATTTACTCCTAGAATAATTTGGTGTTTGTCGTGGGCGTTGTTTTACATGTATTTAAATGTGCAGTCAGTCAGACATCCAAAGATAATAATCACGCCACTTCCAAGACGAGTATTGTTTCTAATCGAGTGGCGCTCTTTACTTCACTGTGCGCGTTTCAGCACCACGGACAGCGAACATCTTATAATAATAGGTTAAACTGCTACATGGTCCTAGCTCTCAGGTGTAATAGTACACGCACGCTCCCTAAAATAAGAAAACGATCAATGATCATGATGGCATTTGTGCTTGCGTTGCTATATTTAGTCATATTAATATTTATACCCCCCTCCCCCCATTTGCGCCTGAGTAAAAATACCACATTTAAGCCAATGCAAATTTAAAGACACAATTCAATTAGATGACGAATGAGATCATGTCACAGTGGATGTCGATCGCGTGCTTTCAAGTGATCGAATTTTCATAGACTCGTGTTATTCTCAGTCAGTGTTTTCCAAAGCAGCTCATGACATCACCTACACAGCCCATAGGAGGAAGATGGAGTGTGCATGGAGAACGCAACGGAGATGTGGATACACAGAGGACGGATATTTTTTTGGAAAGGATCGTTCATATTTTTTTCAATGTTCATTTTTATTTCAGTATATAATCCTTGTGGCTTGTATAGACCTGAGCAAGCGGTTTAAACAAAACTATATTCATTAGAACACTGCACATTCACTGTGCACACACAGTGACCCACCATATTAACGATGATGACACTAATTATGAAAAATACATATACACATGTAGGTTTTGAGCAGAGCAGTGTAATTTTACCTTTACGCATAGCTAGTAAACTAAAGTCCATAAAGGTGGTGTTGAATTTCAATCGTATGCGTGTGTGAAAATTGGGCTGGAATTAACATCTCGCTACAAAACGGCCGTAAACATGCAGTAGGAGCGTGAATGGGTGTGATCATGTTTTGCATCGTTGCTGCTGTCGTGATGTGCCAACCTGCAATGCCTTGATCAAAACACAAGCCCATCACACAAGCGCTCGGGCACTGGACGGATGGACATCACCATCATTATAGCATACATTTATAGACACTTCAACTTGCCTGGACTGCGCTCTGGCCATAGCGGCCACAAGCTGCTTTCTTTCTTCCTCAGACAGATTGCTAAGGTCTGCCTCCACCCCTGCGGGCATCTGGATGAAGCCACCCTTCCCATCAGGTGCGAGTCCCGCTGGTAATCCAGCTTCGCCGCCTTCCAGGCTCGCTTCGTTCCCCATGATCGACCCTCTTTCCTTTTAGTTCCCCCTCCCTCCAGCTAATTACGCGGCGATACAGGTCTTAATGTCGGGAATAAGGCGACAGCATCAGTATCCGCAGTTGTTTTGGATGCATGGCGCTTTATTTCTCCATTTCATTCGAGGGTCTCTGTAGCGATTACGCGCATCCCGAGAGCAGAGCCTCTCCGTGCGGGTGTAGGTCTAGAGTTGTGCGCCTCCCTCCTCCATCCATCCGACGCGCATGTCCCGCCCCTCACAGGTGATCAAAAGACGTCGCCGTTGGAAAAAAACGGAATTAAAGGGACAAAGCGCCTAAGAATTTACAAATCATCTCATAATTACCCTGCTTATTTTGCTTTCAAGACGAGCCAATAATTCCCTAATTAGCGAGCAGTTTTGGTGAAGAGGAATTGGTTGTGTAGTAACACGATGTGGTATCAGTTAACATTACGGTAAGCTTGTTCTGTGTTTGTAGTCTGTAAATCTATACACAGTTAAATGAAAAGTACATTTGATAAAATCAGAACATGTACTTTTATTGTATCATTCACAATGCTTAATGGAACTGCAGCTCTTCATTATCAAGTACACAATATTGTATCAAATTGTTATTTACTTCTGCTTCAAATCAAGTTTGCAATGCTCTTCTCATCGCTGGTAGATTGATTCATGGCTATTTAAAATCCACGTTGGGGGAAAACGACCAGAACTAGCACTCCCGGATAAAGTGGCCACTAATGCACTCTATAAAAGACTGACAGGTTCCTTTGAGGCACCAAAGTTTAAAACACACAAACTACAAGAAATAAAACTTACATCTTAACACACCAATCAAAACAGAACACTGAAGTCTAATATTTTATGGTCTAAAATGATTAGACTTTACTTTAGGCTACTACCATTTCCACATGATCAGCACTTTATTTTATAGTGTAGCAAATTTATAACTGTTCCCTTCGCTCTTCAGACTTGGATTTATAGCTCTCTTCTCTGTTACTTTAGTAATATTTGCACTCCTTTCAAGTTAGGATAGATATCTGAAGCTGTTAAATAAAGCTGAAACAGTGGTGTCAGGGCCGGATTTACCCAATAAGCAAGGTAAGCGGCCGCTTAGGGCCCCAGGAAATCTGGAGGCCCCCAGTAAATATCTAGAAGTATAAATTATACCTATAAACATCATTTTCTACCATATTTTGTACACTGTAAAACCCTACAGTCAACTTTATCAAATGAAATGAGTGTAGTTAACTCAAAATTGACTGAAAGTTAAATCTATTTATCTGGAAAGACTTTTGAACTCACTGTTGAAGGTACTGAGTAAATTAAATACCTCATTACTTCAGCTTAAATGGAGTAAGTTCACAGTACTCAGTATATAGATTCGTTTTTTTTTTTTTTTTTAACTCAAATGGTTTGTGGCAATCGGTTTCCTCAAACGGTTTGAATTGCCTTAACCTATTGGGTTTTACAGTACTCAGTTGGTTTTATTTCTCTTCACTTGTCAGGTTTTACAGTGCTTTATTTACTCAAATGGGTTAAGTTCACAGTACTCAGTAGGATTAGTTTTTGAACTTAAATGGTTTGTTGCAATCGGTCTCCTCAAATTATTTAAGTTACCTTAACTTTTTGTGTTGCACAGTGTATGGTGAGAGTTACAAATACAACTTTACCATAATTAAATATTATTTAATATACAATCAAATATAATAATGTCATGTAATAATAATAATATTACAAAATAAAATATCTATCAGGGAGCTGTCCAGCAGTAAAATTGATTTAAAAAAATATTATTGTTTTTGGCTGTAAATTTATTTTAAGAAAACTAATTATTTAAAATGTAGACATTGTATTATTTAAAAATGTTGAAAAAAGATTGAGTGATATAAAACAGCAAAATAAATAAAAATAAATCAAAGTAGAAAGGGGGTATTTCTTCACTCACTCAATTAAATATCAAAATTACTGGCTTAACTATAATATCAATAGAAAACGTTTTTACAAATACCTTTAATTAAGAAGTTTTGTTAAAGCAAATCAAGATAACAATCTTAATAGACCCTATATTCATCTATAGAAAACATGATGATAAAAGATAATCTTAGAAAAGGTATCATATCAGAGTTTTATGGTTTGCTGACAACAAACTCATCCGAAAATTCATATTGTAGGTTGAACGCATGAAAGAAAGATTTGCAGTTTGAAGTTTCGGATGAGGACTGGGAAGAAGTCTGTACTAACGCTCATACTATGTCTATAAATTCTCATCTTAAACTTATACAATATAAATGGATAAGGTGGACATATGAAACACCAGTAGAATTAGATAAATATAATAAAAACATACTAGATATTTGCACAAAATGTTTACAAGCTAGAGGAATCTTATTTCACTGTATTTGGCAGTGTACAAAGATTAAATTATTTTGGGAAGAGATAAGAGTCATAAGAGAAAAGATCATTTCAAAACAAATCCTCCTCGACCCAAAGCTTTTTTTTTTTTTTTTTTTTTTGCTGGACTTATACCCAGAGAATTCAAACTATAGTAAAAGCAAACAAGTGTTTATAGACATCAGCTTGCTTCATGCCAATATATGTGTAGCTTTGCTATGGACAAAAACGCAAAGACCAAACACTACTCAATCGATAAGACAGATGTTGTCAAGCCTGCCTTTAGAAAAAAAACCTTACATACTAAAAACTAAACAGCATGTATTTGATAAAGTATTTCAGCAGATATATTGATTGTGTGACATTAACAAATAAAGAAGTTGATGAATATTAGCTTAGGGCCCCAAAAACACTAAATCCGCCCCTGAGTGCTGTACCTTAATTTCAGTAGCCGTTTGCTTTATTACAATGAATTACTCGTAAGATTTAGTCATCCAACCACTGCATATATCAACCCTCACAAACATATCCATTCACAGCCTCAGCTCACAGATCTCCTGCTGAATAGGAATCATGAGTCACTACATCAATATGTCCATAAGTCATCAATATGTCCTTGGCTCAAAGCTTTGCCAAAGGCTTGAAGACAGAAGGAGACACTGAAGGAGCACGTCACCAATGACTTTGACAGAGTCTGTGGGGACGCATTGTCTGCTTTATAGGGCCCTATGGCTTACTATGTCCACGGAATCAAACGTAGGAGGAGTCCAAACCTGTTGGCTTCACAAAGAGACAACATTTGCAGACATCAAGAAGGCTGCAAAAATTGAATATTCCACCACCAATGGAGCGGCCTATGAACTGAAAGCCAGAAAGCCCCAGACGTGCAACTTAATATTAGCTTGTCTGAGGAGCCTTGACGAGTGACGGAAGAAAATCCTGTCTCCATTAGCAACCTTTATTGATTCCTACTTTTGTGCAGAGATGAAGCTGACTGCAGGACCACTCTCACCGGATCAACAAAGCACTGAACTAATCATGAATAAAACGCTCAGATAAAACATTAGTGTGTTATCCATGTCCGTTTACCATTTGTTACATTTCGAACTTAAAAAGAGATCAAAAGCACATCCGATTTTACAGGAAGTGACCACATTCATTGCTTAAACTTAAATGCAAGATATAAACACTGCAGAATTTCTAAACAAAGCTTCATTTGAAATAATATATCAAAACAAACTGATTGATCCATGGCCGGGTGTTTAGCATATCTGACATTTTGAGCCATGAGGATTTCCTAATCTTGTTGGCCCGTCTTCTTCCAATCATTTTACATGCTTTTTATTGTGTTCTATCAATAACAATGGCAAAAAATGGCCACAGGGAAAGGCTTAAAGCTGCTAATTAGGCTCTTCCGGATCTCCTGAATATCACAGACAGGTGTGTAACAGCAGGGTTGGAAACAAACACAGCAGGAAGGAAGATCTGCAGGAGCGGGACTGAGGGTATGATTTATCTTTAGCTATGGTTTTAACAATACAACATCTCCATGACGGAGACATTAAATAGGTAAAGGACAGGAACATTTAATATAAACGTTATATATAAATATCTGGTAATTTTAAGGAATACACTATTATTGTAAATGTCTTACTTTAATATTTACTATTTTATTAATATTTTGAATGGCCCTTATTTCCTATATTTTTGGTTTTTGCATGAACTATTTGGTACTCTTTAGTCATTTTTATGACTAGATTTGAACAGATTTTTTATTATTTTCATTATTATTTTTTTTTTATATTTCCAGATTGGTACAAAACCTGGTGTGCCATTTTTAATATTATCATAAATAAGTAAGTATGTAAGGAAGGGGAATAATGCAGTTAGTTCACAGTCTGACACATTGGAAATTTGGGAGGGGGGGGAATATTAGAAACTAATTTCATGGAAATATTTGACAAATCAAATCTCTACTGATAATTTCATTCTTGAGATTTGAGCTTCAAATCATGACTTGTTTAGTATTATAATGTTGCTATTATTATTCTAATTATTATTAAATTATTGTACATTTCAGCTATAATCTGCCAGTGTTTTCTTTAAAAAGAGATTTTACGTTTGGTCCCTACTCCGAAGCCAGCAAGATTTCTCAAAGTCGGGAATTTCATATACAGGTCAAAAAGTGGTTGAAGGGTCATAAATTAATTACAAGTACAGCATAAATTAAATTTAATACCAGAAAATCCTCTAAAAATACAAAATACTAAATAACAATAAAACAAAGCTCTGCTAAAATGTATCATTCACTTAGCTGAGAAAAAAACTGCCACACATCAGAAGATTATCTCTTATAGTCAGGGTGTAAATTTTACATTGACAATCAGGGAGGTCAACTTTTTTGGTGGTAGTAGTTTGGTAACACATGCTTCAGTGAATTAAATTTATGAATGCATTTAAATTACACATTTATTAAAATATATAACTTTTTTATGTTTTGAGGGATATTTAGACTATTTTAGAGGTTACTGTAGGTCAAACAATACAAATTGTGTCTAATTTTTCTTTTTTTTTTAGGCTACATGCAGATATAAACCCCTATTTTAACAGAGACTTGTTTTGTGAATACTTAAAATGTCTATAGGTTCTCAAGAACTGCCAATTTCAGACTGTTGAATGATGTTTTTCTGAGCATTGATTGGCATGATTGAATGCATTACAATGGTATCAACCGATTTAGGGAGGGTCAAATGTATATTTATATTCTATATTTTAAATTCTTAATATTCAAGATAAAAATCAGGTATTTATAAAGCTATTTATTACTATTAAAGGGCTGACCCCCATACATCTTGTTCTCTCTTACACCGTTTGGC